CCCCCCCCCCCCCCCCCCGCCCCCCGCCCTCCCACCACCCACCCAAGCATCAACCCGCACCAATAGGAACCAGCTTTTGTTTCCCCGACGGCTTGGGGGGCCTCTTTATTTTTCGCCCGTCTGTCTGCAGGCATGCAGGGCGTGCACGTGATGGAGACGACCTTCACTTGGCAGGTGCAGGGCGAAGGAGAAGGTAGGACGTTCGGCGACGCCCAGGCCTTCGCCACCGCGAACGGCACGGCGGTGGCCGTTCAGAAGACCGGCGCCTCGGCCCCCGCCGTTACTCCCGGTCCCGCGTCGGGCGACGGAGACGGCTCAGCGGCAGCACACGGCGACGGCGACGACGGCTCCGTGGGAGGCGGCTCCGGGAGGGCGACGCAAGCGGCGGCTGAGCTTCGCACGCCCGGACCCTCCGCGGCAGGGGTGGACGGCGCGGCGGCGGACAGCAGTGGTCTTGATAACGATCAGAGGGGGGGATCCGCGCCGGTGGTGGTGACCCCCCCCGCGGATCCCAACGCGTCGACGCCGCCACCTCCCCTTCTGGTGTGCCGCCTGGGGGAACAACAGCAGCAGAGCCCGGAGAGCAGGGCCGCGGCGGCGGCGGCGCAGGCATCGGTTGCCGCTGTGCGGAAGAGCGTCGTTCGGCGACGAGGAGCGGTCGTGCCGAACAGAGTCCCTTCGCGGCCAACGGGGGCGGCTGGTGCTGCCGGTGGAGCTGGTGCTGCCGGCGAGTCATCGTCGACCCCACGCCTGTGCTCGATTCCTTTCGTCATCAAGAGGAACACAGCCTCCCCGTCCTCCGCCGTCGCGACAGGGAAGGTTAGCGGCAACAAAAGCGGGCCGCTAGACCTGAGCGGGGGCGATCAAGCCGCGGCGATGGCGCGGCAAACCGAAGGAAGAGATAGTGTCGACCTTGGCACTCCTCGGGCGGACGGCAGCGGCGACCGCAGCGACACGGCCGCTCCTACACCGGCAGCTGCCAGGGTAGTGACGCCGGCGCCAGCCTTCTCCGAGGGGGCAGGGCGGAAGAAGAAACGCAAGGACAAGTCCTCGCGCCGGGAGGGAGGGGCGGCGTCCGTCGACAAGGAACGGCGGAAGAAGAGAAAGAAGGGAGCCGGAATGTCGGCGGCGCCGGCGCCGGCGCCTGCGGCGGTCGGGGCCGGAGAAAGACTCGGGGCTGGGGAGGAGTTGAGGGGCGCGTCTCCGGCGGGGGGTACGCCTGCTGCCGCGCCTCCTCCGATGGTCGTAACCTTTGCGGCCGCCGGTAGCCTAGGGATGGGGCTGGAAGCGGACACAACGGAGGAGGGCACCATGCGCCTGGCCGGCAAGGCGCCGACGAGCGCGGCCGCTGCGGTTCCGAACGGCTGGCGACTCACGGCGGTGGGCGGCAAGAGCGTGCGGCGTCTGGGAGGTGGGTGCGCTGACGGTAATGAGATCGTGGTACCATGCTAGCGCCGCGAAGAGTCGCGGAGCCGTCGAGTAGTGCAAGGATCGTTGCGGAAAGTCAGTATCCTTTTCCGCGAGTTTCTTGAGGCGGGCGCACTTGCGCGCAGGCACACCTTAAACTCTCCTTGCTGACAGTCACCCTTGTTGACCAAGCACTGACACACTTTTTAGAAAGTTTCAGGTCTGAAAAACCGCCCCTTTCCCCGGCCCCACTATCGCCAACCTGTTTCAGACGAGAAGATCGCAGCCCTCCTCATGATCCGCCCCGTGGAGGTCACCTTCGAAGAAGTTCCAAGGGCGAAGATGGAGGCCGAAGCCCCGCCCCTGCCCCCCCCCCCCCCCCCCCCCCCCCCCCCCCCCCCCCCCCCCCCCCCCCCCC